ACAGTGTAATTTTCTGATAGCGTATAGATGAAAACATACTCGAAAATCATATTTTCATATATAGTTTTTATTGGTTCATAACTGATCGGTTTTTTGTAAATGATCTTAGGTGGATCGTCAAACACTATTACCTTAGTTATTTCTGTCTTCGAATACAACTTAATGCTTCGCGTTGGTTTAAAAATCTCAATATTGATACTGCATGTACCGAAAAAAGTATGATTTTAAATGTGTGATGTAAGCATGATGTTATAATGTTTTGGTACTACATAGCTTGATTGATTGGAGAGTTGAATTGTCTGATTATGGATAAAATTTGCCACGGCGATGAATGCTAAACCGCTACTTAATATTAATTTTAGAATCATGATATTACTTTTTATCTTAGATGTCTACAAAAATATTATTCTATTAGAAAGAATAAACGGATAAATTAATACACCGCGTTGTCTTTACCATAGATTAATGGTAAAGAAGAAATTAGGACAAGTATATAGAAGTACTGAATTCTTAATGACTTACTCTCTGTATGAAGATATATCACAAATTATATATAAATGTATATTCCGTTATAATAATTAACCTGAATAAATCGATGTTTTATCCACTCTGTATAACGTGAGAAGTAATGTAGGGACACATTGTTATGAGCTCTTATTGTTTCGAGAAACCTCCAAAGATTAACAACACTTGATTCACGACATTGTAATAAATACGTATGTCATATAAACACACAACTTCTGAGATCGTTAATAGACATTTTGATTGCAAGAAACGTTATACATATAATCATACATATATACACAAAATTTGAAAATTAAGAAACTTTTATTTCGGACGAGCAAATGAAAATTGACTCTTTTTTTTAGAAAATTATCTCTTTCCTGATTGTGTGTTCGTATGTGCATATATATATTAGAAAATTATCTCTTTCCTGATTGTGTGTGTTCGTGTGTGCATATAGATACATTTCTGTAATGCATATATGTATAGAGTATAAATACTATTTGACTTATAAATAATTGAACAGAATTATTAAAATTAAAAGTTACAGTTATTGAAACAAATTCCATTGAAAATATAAAATTATGGATTCTGAGAATATTTTTTTGAAAATTAAAATTATTATTATATCTCTAGTAAATACAAAATACACATTGAAAGAAAATTTAAAATTAAATTAAATTTTTTATATAATATTAAAATTATATATATTATATTAAAATGATAATTTTCATGCGCGTATATGCATGTAAATAATGTTGTTGCCCGACATTTTTATAAAAAAAGAATTAATTTTAAATTACACATAAGAAATTATATAAAATCTGTGAATAAGTTTGTACAAGTGTGTAAATCTAGTGGAAATTAATAATTCATTTAAATAATGTCATGTAATGAGTCACATCTATATCGAAATTTCGAAATGTCTATATCGAATTTTTTATTTTTCATGTTTTACTCAAATATAATATTTTTAATATTAAATATTTAAAAACTTATAAATTCTATCTTTAAATCTTATAAATCGGTTTTTATTAAGATTACTAAAATTTCTAAGTAAAGAAGTTTTCTTTCTCTTTTGCTTTTGCTTGCTCGCTCTCATTTTCCCATGCACTAAAAATTACAATATTCAAAAAACACTTTATTTTCGGAAATTAATAATAAAAATATGTTTATTTTATAAGAAGAATATAATGTAACATTAATTTTTGCTTGTCTTTGAGATACTCTGAGACTGTAGTACTAATATACTCTATATAAAAACAATATAATAAAATCAATGATTAATAATTAAAAATGAGTATATATTAATAGTATATAATAATAATGAGTATATAATAATAACAATATATGTAAAATATATATTTACTTTCAATCTACCTGCTGTCTTACGAATATATATCTTCTTATATTCACCTTCTATTGCATTAGTAAGTTTATCTATCAGGAAATTGCTTATCTAAAATAGATTAATTTGATATTCAACATTTCAATAATTAAATCATAAATTTATCACATCATAGTTATTTATTTTACATGTATGGATATAAATACATACAATTTTTACCTTTTTGAGTTGTTCCGTAGAAGACACATGATTAATAATAACAGTAAATGCTACATACTCGCTGATTTGTCTAGAACAGTAAAACAATAAATTTATTAATACACGCATAAACTGTTAAATGATAGGTATATATTTGTGGAGAAAATTGTATTACTTGGGTTTTATATTCTCAAGGTTTTATAAAGTCGAGTACTATAGGATTCCTCGCAAGTTTCGCGATAAAAAAAAAAAAAAAATTAATATAATCTTGATCGGAAAAATCTTATAAAAACCTAATCGATGTTCTATTATCATTTTTTATTAGATTTAAAGAGTCTTTAATAAATTTTGAATCCTCCGGACAAGCCAGAAAATTAAAAAATTTAGTTTTAAATTTTTCTTTTCCCTTTTAATATATTCACCACTAAGGAGAATCTTCATTGCTAAGAGAATGGAACAATACTTTTAAACCTTGACAATATGTCCATTCTTTCCACCATGGCAAGAGTCTATGAAGTTAAACTGAGTCTATGATGTTACATTTCTTTAAATATGTAAGAAGTATAGAGAAATATACATATAGATGTATGAGAAAATTGTGCCATGTGATTTATTATAAAAATCAAAAATTATATTAAATTTACATAAATATTAACAAATAAAGTTACAAATATAGAACAAATCAAATACAATTAAAAAAAAATAAATCAGAATACAAATTAGATAATACATTTTTAGTACATTAATAATATAATGTTAAATATATTGCAGATACTTTCTCTTTTAATATAATTAAATTTATTCATATAATATAACATAATTTAATTATAATTATTTATGTATTATAATTATGAGCATAATTTACACTTAATTTAATTATATATTTAATTATAATATAATATAATTTAATTATAATTATTAATATATTATTATTATGAATATAATTTACACTTCGCTTTACTTCATGTTAATAAGGAAATAAAAACATCAGTAAATTGCAGATTAAAATGAATCCTTGTAAATGCACGTGCATTTAATCTTATATTATTAACGCACATAAGCATAAATAATAAATCGAAAACTATAAACATCATAAAAAGCATTTGTAAAAAAGATATATAGATGTATTCGCGTCACAATTTTTACTTTTATTAAACGGTTATTTTTGACGGTATTCAACAAAATTTTGAAAGTAAGTCTGTTGATTTTTGATTTCGAAAAAGCGCATTTGTATCTTGCTTTTAATATTTGAAATATATTGCTGCATACACCTCAAATTTTCTGTAAATTCTGTTAAGTCGATTGTCTAAAACAGATTGCATCGGTATTAAGTATTAGTGTGAATAGCCAATAATTATTAATAAATATTATATTAAATATTATCTCGTATATGTGTGTGTGTATTATATATATGTATAATATATATATATATATATATATATATATATATATAATATTAATATATTTTATACATATATATAATACATACAATAATAATATTCTTAAATATAATAGAAATAAATAATAATTATGGATTATAAAAAATACAAATTTGCTGAAATGAGAATAAAATCTTTTATTCTTCTTTTGTACTATGTGTTCTATTATATGTGTATTATGTATATAGTGCTGCACTATATTTTATTTAATAACTCTTTTATTTGTTCCTTATTTTGCAAGGAATGCTTATAAATAATACTTTGCAAGTAACTTTCGACAAATAAAAATCAAAATTTGGAATTAGAGATTTTAAAAATAAAATTAGAAATTTATATGAGCTACAGCTGTCACAGAGATAACATCATTATAATATTATAATATTATAATTGTTATATCTTATTAATATATTATAAATATATTACAAATATATTATAAATGTATTATAAATATAAATTAATAAATAAATATTTATCATATCATTTATATACCTTATTTTTGCTATTATTTAAATATTCTTTAGGAAAAGAGAAAGAATATGTGTTTATGATTTTAATATCTCATTTATAATGCGTCACATTTTTTACATATTTATAGTCTTCTAAAATAAACAAAAATATCTAGATAATTATCCAGATTATCGCAATAATTATGTCATCTTTCATTTAGATTAAGTAAAAGCAAAATCAGCTTTATCTTATCTAAGATAAATTTACGGATTTTTATCTTTATCTTTATCTAGATAATTTTGAAATTATCTACAGCAAACACTGCTAATGACACTCCATACAGCGCAAATCAGTGTTGTTACATTACAGCAATATTGCAATGTAACAACAATGGTCTGTGGGACAGTTCAATTTATAATTCTTTCATTGGGATAGTGAATTGTAGGCAATGTTTATACAGTTTATATATGCATGTTTATTTTGAAAATTTGTTATAAGCGATTCAGATGAATGTTTAGAAGTCGATTTTTATATTTATATTTATTTGAACTTTGTTTAGGAGAAAAAAATTAGCAACAATAATTGGCAATGTGTTAAAAGTAGAAATATATATATGTATTTTGATGTATTATATTTATAATTTTACACAATGTTATACACAATGTTAGCATCAGTATAAAAGCATTCACCACATTGCCAAAGTCAGTAATACGGGAGTACAATATAAGAGTGTATAAAAGAATTTAATACGAGCGTTTGTTTATTTAATAATTATTATTCATTACTAAATAGATAATAAGAATTTTAATAAAATTTAATTATTCTTTTGCAATAAAAAAACAAAGTAAATAATATCAACGTACATATATACAATAAACGCTGGTTTTTGAAATATGAACTATTTTAAGTATAATAGAAAATTCAGATTTTTCTTAAGAGTAATATGTCTGAGTATTTAAATTTTGAATAAGTATTTAAATTTTAAAGGGGATTAAATTATGCATTTCAAATATAAAATCAATAAAATATATAGATGAAATCAATAAAATAAAAAAAGATTTCATTTCTATGTTAATAATTAATACATCTTTAATACATATTTATAAATATAGTTGCGTACTGCACACATCTTATTTGCATTGACATAATCTTACATTTAATCATTATTTCAAATTCAATTACATTGCACAACAGTCTGTTCTCTCTGTGAAGCAGTGCATCGAGATGGTAGAAGATCGGTCCTCAGTCTGCGGAATAACAGAACATGTGGTTCTAAAAGAATAAAATTTTAATCTCAATATTTATAAAATATTTTATAAACTGAGTATTTATAAACAATATTGTGTAATAATTTTTTATCATTCTTAATAATTAAAATTCATGTATATTTTTATTTGTGAAATCATACCTGGTCCATGCATCATATAATGAACCCATCCAGGACTTTGCTGAACTCCTAAATTCCTCCATTCCGTTTCTGTCATGAGATGAGTTTTTGGAACATATTTAGCAAGATCAAATGGCAATATTACATGCCTATAAATAATTTAAAATTTAAATTAGATGATTCCTAATTTAATTTTGTTAAATTTAATGAAATTAAGATTTTTAATATTCCTAAATCTTTAAATTAAGAAATATAATATATATATATATATATATATATATATATATATATATATAATTAGGTATATATTGTATTTTTTTTAAATATTGAACAAAATTTGTATTCTAACTATATAATATATTAAAAATCTAATTTTCTAAATAATCATTTTGTTTAACTTTTTAAATTTTATTTTCTGTAAACTATTCATTAGAGATATTTAATAATTCAAATTACCTATACTCGTACTTATCATCGCTATACTTTTCAGAATATTGAATCTGATCTACTGGCATCTTCTTACTTTAAAAAATAATTAAATCAATAATCTTTAATTTTGGATAATCTAGAAAAAAGAAAGTAAATTAAATACAAATTATATACAAATTCATCTAAAAAAAAAAGTAATTAGTGATAATTATGTAGAATACAAGAAAATTTCTACAAAATTAAAATTTTATATAACACCAGTTTTTTATACAATAGCCTTTATATAATACTGATATATTAATATTTTATTTTAATAAAATAATGAGTCTATACTGACACAGCAAAAAAATATTAATAGTAAAATAAATGAAACTAATAAAAATAGATGAAAATAAAATAAATAATTACAAATTAAATTAATATATATATATAAAGGTGTGTTTTACATGTTTACGATTTAATTTCAATGTATAGATTTCTCATTTTAATAAAATAAAAATTCTTATAACTTCATAAAAATATTATAACATGGTTAAAACGTACATCTTCATACATTTGTAATAAATATAATTAATATTTGAATATATAGATTCATCGATTATACTGTAATTCCATATACGCTCATATATTTGATCGATTACAAAAAATCTAATATCTAAAACATGTTATTTTCTTTTAAGGTCAATCACCAAAGGCAACAACAATTTTGGACAAATTGACAAAAAAGCATTATATGTGTTATAAATACATTTTATATGTTGTTCAAATCATCAATGCAGAAAACGTATTAATATAAAATATATGAAAATGTAAAATAATAACATGTAAAAAATAGCAAATAAAATGTAAAATAATAGTAAAAATAAGAAACAAATGGTCGAGATACAAATATATATACTGGAATATATATATATTTTATATACAAATACAAAATTTCTACGGTTAAAAGTTGAAGAACGATTTTGAAAACATCTTTTTCAAAATTTGGATTTATTCAAATATGTACTAACGTATAAGCCGAAAGCGAATCTTAAATCCAAGATGTTCCTTTGATTCAATTCTAGATCCAAAATATATAATACGCTTTTTAATCCACAAATCAGACATTTATAACTCCTACAGCTCCTGATCTGAGGTCTATAATGACAGTTGACGGGCGATTTTTCGCGCATGCGCGATAATAGATAGTAATGACTAGAGAACCTCTAGGAGAGAGAATGGACAACTGATCATGTGACATGTGATCAAGCTTTTTCATGATTGGCTGGCAGAAAATGTATCAATTTTAACTATTGCGACGCCAATGCAAAATATGATGACACACAAATAGGTTAATATATGTGTGTCATGTGTGTCCTATTTGTGTGTCATCATATTTTGCATTGGCGTCGCAATAGCTAAAATTGATACATTTTCTGCCAGCCAATCATGAAAAAGCTTGATCAGTTGTCCATTCTCTCTCCTAGAGGTTCTCTAGTAATGACAATTCACTATAGATGTATCATTTAATAGATATAGAAAATTTGGGCTTAAACAAGAAAAATATATATATATTTTTTTTTTCATATAAAATATTTAAATTTTAATCTAAATATTTTTTATATTTTAAAATATAATTCTTAATTATAATTATAATTAAGAATTATTATAATTAATATTTTAAATATTTTATATGAAATATTTAAAATATTTAAAAATATTTAAAAATATTTAAATTTAATTTAACTCAAAAAATGTTTTGTTTAATAAATTTTTATACTTTTCTCTCTTCCAGCTTAATTAAATTTCTTACAATTATATATACATGTAAATATGTATTCGTAGACAAAAAGATGTGCCGTTGGTCACTCGCGAAAAAATTTCTAAAAAAAAGTTTTTCAATACGTTATTGAAGCCGCGTTCGTTGCGCATGCGCGAAAATCCTGACCCATATGTCACTAGAAAATTCTCTATTCGATAGCTAATGGCATTCAGCGGAATTCAACCGCTAAGTAGCAATCGAACGTGATTGGTCTCTACTTTCAGGTCCGACCAATCAGCGTCGAGTTAGATCGGAAAATCTAGTAATGTTGCCCAACTATTGAATCCTCTGAATGCAACCAATCAAGACGTTCGACAAACTTGTTATATGAACCAATGGGAACATTACTCGTCACTCGTCGTGTCTCGTGTGCTATGGTTGATACAAAGTTATTACTCCGTACGTTTCTATAGGTTAGACATCTACGTATTGAAAATAATGTATTGTTACATTTTCATAACAGTGTTGTGATTGATTTAAAAAAAAAAGTTTATATTATTTTCTTGAGTAAGTTTCGAAGAAACGATGGGTGTGCCAGCATTTTTTCGTTGGTTGAGTCGAAAGTATCCCTCCGTGATTGTCGAGTGCATCGAGCAAAAGGTAGGTTAGATTACTCGATGCTTTCTTCTTATTTGCATTATTTATATATTTATATATTTTATATATCTTATTATATTTATATTGTGCCTTTTTAATGAAATTTTTGATTAATGTTTTAATAAACAAAACTATTACATTCGGGTCGAATTTTTCTTAATATGATACGTATATATTTTGGAATTTTCAACTTGTGCATACAAATCTAAATACATACATGTAACATCTGGTTGCATGTGGTAAAGGCTATAAAAGATATATTAGGAAATATTAAGAGTTTTTGAATAACTATTACACATATGTGTGAATAGATGCAACATTTTGATGAAAAAAATATAAAAATTTTTTTATTTATAAAATTCCAAATTATGAGAATTACGTATATCGGAACAAATTATCTTATTTTAAGGGATTTAAGTATATTTATAACTGTATACTTATAAATATATGAGCATTGTAGATTTTGTAATTTTTTAGAGTTTTGTTTTAGAAATACTTCTGTTTTTTTTTCTTTTTTTATTTTGAAGATTTTGAATTATTATAAAGATGAGAGATACTTTCCTTATTATTAAATCAAATATTTATGTAAATATGTTATATCTATATAATTATGTGTGCTCTTTCATAAGCGCAAAGATTTTTATATTTTATAAAAGAGAAGAAAGAAGAAATTTTCTTTTTTAATATAAAAAGATAATTCTGCATACAATATTTTTTGTTCTTAATTTTATATTATTTTATATAATGCAATATCTTCTTTCACAAATAATATTTTGTCTCATCTATTGGATAATATTTAACATATCATCTTAGATTCTAATAGTCAAAGAAATTACATAGAATATTTCCTGCAAATTTTTATAATTTAAAAAGATTGCATATCTGTAAAATATTTCTGAAGTCACTAAATATTGAGAATATGCATTTCTCTCTGAAAATGAAAAAATAAGTTATACGATTTTATGATCAAACTTTCTCTTTTCAAATTGTAAATGTCTATAATTTAAAAATTGTCTCTAAATCGAATTCCTGATAAGATTGAAATTATTAAATATTTTTCTAAATTTCTAAATTTCTTATCAATTACAATATCAGTATCAGTAAAAATAATAACAGCACATGTTGCATTTTGATAAGTCAATATAGCTTTATTCTATAATGATGAATCTGTATATTGGAGTAAAAAAAATATTCAAAGTTTCAATTTATTTGAATTTAGACTTGATTTAAAGTGAGTTATTATATAAATGTCATTTTCAATTTATAATTAAAATAAAAGAAAGAATAATGCATATTTTATCAAATTTCTGTGAAATTTCAATACATTCTCATAAAAAAAGATCTTTAATCACAGATGAATGGCCCGTACAACTTGAAAGATATATAGATTTATATGATCTTTTTTTTTATTTTTTCAGGGACACCTTATACAGCTTAATCTTTTTTTTCTCTTTTTTTTATGTAAGTGTATTATAATTGAAATTTTGAAAATTTCTAGACAATATCTGCAGATGGAGTATGTATTCCTGTGAATTCTGCCGACCCAAATCCAAATGGAGTGGAATTTGATAATTTGTATCTTGATATGAATGGCATAATACATCCCTGTACACATCCTGAAGATAAGTGAGTATAAGCGAGATGTCGCAAAGATTTGCAAGTTATTTATATTTTATTTGTGTACAAAACAGGCCAGCACCTAAAGATGAGGACGAAATGATGGAGGCTATTTTTGAGTGCATTGACAGGTTGTTTCGTATTGTCAGACCAAGAAAGTTGCTTTATATGGCAATTGATGGAGTTGTAAGTATTTTTGTATGTAACATATAAAAAAAGAGGAGGCGAAAAATACAAAATGAACTACAATATGCATACTATCACCTAGGCGCCAAGAGCTAAAATGAATCAACAAAGATCTCGACGATTTCGGGCCTCGAAAGAAACAACGGAGAAAATTAATGAAATACAAAGGATACGTTCCGAATTAGCCAATAAAGGAGCGCCCTTGCCTCCTGAAAAACCGAAGGAAGAACATTTCGATAGTAACTGTATCACGCCGGTTTGTAATAACAAAGAAAAAATATAAAGCAAAATATGTTTTTATTTAAAATATTTTTAAAAAATTTATTTAACATAAATTATAATATTTAAGAGTCTTATAAGCTATATATCTATATTTTTTAATAATTAAAACTTTTTGATTAATTTTTAGTTTTAAATTGAAATTTTACTGATAAAAATATATGTATATTATTTATATATCAAAAACTTCTCTATATTTTCAGGGCACACCATTTATGGCAAGATTATCAGCATGTTTGCATTATTATATTCATGAACGTTTGAATAAGGACCCAGGTTGGAGAAATATTAAAGTGATATTAAGTGACGCTAATGTCCCTGGCGAAGGAGAACATAAAATAATGGATTTTATACGACGACAAAGATGTACATTTTTATATTAATATTTATATTACATTTCTAAGTCATCGAAATACTATATAACTTTTGTTTATTTTACAGCACAACCTGATCACGACCCTAACACGCAACATGTTTTATGCGGAGCAGATGCCGATTTAATTATGTTGGGTCTTGCTACGCATGAACCTAATTTTACAATTATTCGTGAAGAGTTCAAACCGAATAAACCAAAACCATGCGATATATGTGGTCAGTTAGGACATGAAATGCGAGAGTGTACAGGTGCAGAACCGAATCAGGGACAGGAGGAAAATGCATTTGGATCTGAATGCCAGTACATATTTGTGCGATTAAATATTCTCAGAGAATATTTAGAAAGAGAGTTATATATGCCAAATCTACCATTCAAATATGATTTTGAACGAGCTGTCGATGATTGGGTGTTCATGTGTTTCTTCGTAGGGAATGATTTTCTGCCGCATTTACCTTCTTTAGAAATTAGAGAAGGCGCAATTGACAGACTTGTTGCTCTGTATAAAAAAGCAGTGTACAAAACAGGAGTACGTAATATTTCTTACAAGAAAAAATAATGAAAAATTATTAATTCATGTAGCTTTTAAAAGATACATTCATAGAATATCCTCAAGTTTTTAGACATTTTTTTTATTGGACATTATTATTTTTTATTTCTTAAATTTTAAAATTTAATTTATTTTCCTCATTTTTTCTATTTCTTAATTTCCACATGTAAATATTATTCCAAATAAGTTTCAAGAGCTTAAATTCTTTCTTAAAGATTGTCTCCACATTAAATAAAAAAGCAATCAAATTTTATCTTTTACATTTTTTTGATATTGAAAATATTAATAAGTAAAAGATTGTTTATATTTAATTATTTATAATTAAAGATAATATTTTTTAAAATTTAAATGAAATCGAAGAGCAATAATTATAAAAATTTTCAAATTTATCATTAAATTTATCATTAAATATCATTTATTATTTGCTGAGATTATAGCTTTTCAATATCATATCAATTAAATAATTCATTATAATTAAAAAAATCAGAAATTTTAATTATATTTATTTACATTCATATATTTAATTATTAATTTGGTTCTATGTGTCTTTAAAAATAGGAAAATAATGTGTCTTTAGTAAATAGGAAAAATATTTCTATCAAATATATCTTAATAAGCAAATTGAGGCAAGTATATTTACAGAAGGTACATTTTTGAATTATTTGTCCATAGGGTTTTTTGACGGACAGTGGCGATGTTAATTTAGATCGTGTACAATTAATAATGTCAGACCTTGGTGATGTAGAAGATGAGATCTTCAAGAAAAGACAGCAAAATGAACTGGCCTTTAAACAACGTGAGAAGGACAAAAAGAGGAGACAAGAAATCATCAGTAACTTTAAACCAAAATGGATTCCTGCAGGACAATTTGCGCCTACTGTAAGATTTTTTCTAAATTTAGTTTTCTTAAATTTACATTATGTGCAAGCTAATATTAAATTAAGTATTAATTATATAAATAATCAACAATATTGGGACAAGCAGCAAGAAGCATAAATTCGTTCAATTCATTTGTACTATTAATTTGATCAATTTGTTAATTTAATTGTAACTTTTGTAAACAAAATATCTAAAAAATAATGGTTAAATTTATATAAAATGAATGTTAAGATGTAAAAAGAAATTTTTCAGGTAAATTTTTCTTTATATATTTGTATTATAATAATCCGAAAAAATCTTTACAGGCCCTTGGACAGACAGTGAAACCAATAGAAAATGCACGTTACGAAGCTTATCAAATGCGCGTACAGGGTAGGAATTACAATACGAATGCTGGCGAAAATACAAACGCTAATCATGCTTTAGAAATCATGTTGAGACCCGAAGTAAGAACTTTATTTTGTAGTAGAACTTTGATTTTTTTTCTGACAATTTTACATACCCGAGATTTTCTAAAAATTACACTTTTTATACAGGATGGCCTCGAACGTTCCAGCTAGACTTTGAGATCTCAGGAAATTTAATTCTGAACAAAAAAATTTCCTATAAACATGGGTCGATAAATGCTTCCTTAAGAAGTTATCGCTCAAAAATCTCTGATGAAGGAAGAGCAAAATGTGAAAAGAAAATGAAATAAAAAGAAAATGAAACTAAATAAATTTCTTGAATAAAACGATAAAAGTAAAAAATAAAAATCTTTTTCTTTTATGAAAATAAAATAAAAGTTAGTTTAAAAAAAAGAAATTTTATTTTCATAAAGGAAAAAGATTTTTATTTTTATCGTTTTTTTCAAGAAATTTATTTAGTTTCATTTTCTTTTTATTTCATTTTCTTTTCACCTTTTGCTCTTCCTTCATCAGAGGTTTTTGAGCGATAACTTCTTAAGGAAGCATTTTTCGACCCCTGTTTATACGAAATTTTTTCTTCAGAATTAAATTTCCTATAAGATTTCAAAGTCTGGCTGGAATGTTCGGGGCCACCCTGTATATTATATTTACATATACTTTGCATACACATTGCTCTTAATTTTTGCATATTATGTAGATTCCAGGGCAGAAACGTAAAATTGAAGAAACATCGGTAGACGACGATGATGATGAGCAATCGCACGATGAAGTGCGACTTTGGGAAGATGGTTTCAAAGATCGGTATTATGAATCTAAATTCGACGTCTCACCAGATAATCTCGCCTTCAGGTAAATAATGAGTGACAAATAGGTAGCACGATTTTTATATTTGCAAATGTTTGTTGATTTAATAAATAAAATTTATTTTGAAAGCTGACGCGTTATACCACACATAAATGTTTAATCTGCTCGTTTGTTTCTAGAAATAACGTCGCTTTACAATACGTACGTGGTTTATGTTGGGTCTTGCGATATTATTATCAAGGTTGTGCGTCGTGGAGATGGTATTTCCCATACCATTATGCGCCGTTCGCAAGCGATTTTATTAATATCGGTGGTCTCTCTACGGAATTTGAGAAAGACACTGTACCGGTAAGAAAAAAATTTGCAAAATGTAAATATATTTGCATGTACCTTTCTGATCTAATGACTTTTTCTTTTTGCAGTTTCGTCCATTAGAGCAATTGATGGGAGTATTTCCTGCTGCTAGTAAAAAACATGTACCTGCACCATGGGCAAAATTAATGACCGATCCAGTATGTATCAGAAATTGTTAAAAATGATATTAGACTATTTTTACGAATTAACATGGCATGGCAAACTATTATATTACTTATCATTTATTTGAAAACAATTCTTATCTTTCTTCCTTTTAATATCTTTTATTGTCAAATGATGAGTAAAGGTAGGAAGATATAAACATTAGATGAATAACAAGATACATAATAAGTAATATAATATATAATAATATATTAAATATTAAAATTAAATTATGATGAAAAGTTGAATCTTAAATAGCTGTAAATAACTGTCTTTAGTTGATTTATTTTTCAGACATATGAATTGAAATTTAATATAAAACATTATCTTGTGCCACGTCAGCTTCATACAATTTCTTCTATTTTATATAAAAAAATATATACAACATATATACATTTATCTGTATTCATTGTATTATTTATTTACAGAAATCTCAAATTATTGATTTTTATCCGGAAGATTTTAAAATCGATTTAAATGGAAAGAAATTTGCATGGCAAGGTGTAGCTCTGCTTCCGTTTGTCGATGAAAAAAGATTATTCAAAGCTTTGATGCCATATTACGACAATTTGACAGAAGCAGAAAGTAAGTGATATATTTTTTAAACTAGCATATCTAATTATATATATATATATATATATATATATATATATATATATATAATTAGATATGCCAGTTATATATATATATATATATATATATATATATATATATATATATAAATCTTTCTAGATAATTATTGCCAAAAATTAACGATTTAAAAAATGTTACTTTTTTATTCTCTAAAAAGTCATCATATATAAAAGTACAGTTTAAATATGTTCAAACATGCTCGAAATTAATATTGATTCATCTTCCTGAATCATTAGTTGAGATGTTAGTTATACAGAAAGATTTATATAAGGAAATCTTATATAAGTATATATTGAATTATTTATATTAATATCCCATTCTTATTTTTAGAAAAAAGAAACATTTGCGGCAATGACAGATTGTACATTGGTATGGGGAATAGCAATTATAATTTTATAAAAGGTTTATATACGAATCACATGGGATTTGATAAGGAGATCGAAATAAGTATAAATGGCATGCGAGGCACTGTACTCTTATCGGAAGATTGCGTGATTGATGGGGGTACGTTACCTTCACCTGTGAGAGGTTTGCCAGTCAGGAATAATAAAGTGTACTGGTGCGTATACATTTACATACAAAATACAAATACAGTAGGACACGAATAGCTATGATGATAATAGCAGATAACTTTTCTAAAAAAAATTTTCTGCTCTTTCAACGTCATACAAGTTAGTCATACAAGTTATCATGTCCTACTGTATAGCTGAAAATGTAAACTAATTACATTTATTTAACATAATTATAATTTTTTGATATCTCATTTGAAAATCTCAATATATATCTTTCTCGATTTATAGTGTCAAATTCAAGGATCCTAAATACAGTAGCACTCATATTTTCCTCGCTCGTAAATTAAAAGGAGCTAAAGAACCGCCGCGTGTCTTGAAGCCGCAAGATTTTGAAGCTATGAATCGCAATAATGGGAATCAGTGGAAGCCGCAAATTGGTTTTACTCGGTCTACACAATCCGTTTCGTTAGGTCAAGCAGGACATAGAATGGTCGAGTACGTATTATTACTACAACCAAGCATTTATGTCATATAAATATAATAAATGCTTGTCGATAAATTTTAAGTTGTTTAAAAATTTCTATATAAATTACTAAAATATTTATAAATTATCTATATCCTATTTCTATATTTATATAAATTCTCTTCAATCATACTTCAAATTATATAATGAAAAAAATTTTTATTTCCTTTCTATTTTGTTTCAAAATTAATTCAAAAATATTATTACAACCAAGCATTTATGTTTTATTACATTATAATGCTAAAGCAAGATTTCTTTCATAATAAAATTATATTTTCGAATTTTGTATAACCCATGAGAATTGTATAACATATAGAATGCATTTTCTCGAGAAGGATCTATTATGAATATACTGCTACTTTTTATTGTTATAACATATGAAACAATTATTGTTATCATTTATCAAAATGATACTATTTCCTGGAAACTTAGAAAATCTAGAATTTTGAACGATTTCTTTTTCTTTTTTGAAAAATCAGAAAACTATTTAGAATTTTATTAGGCTTAGGGAGAATTTTATTTTAAATTTAGATTAAATCATTTTTATTGTAATAAATAATTATAATAGATAATTTTTATTGTTATTCTTAGTGATAAAAAAATGAACATATTGTACAAGTAATGAAAAATTATTATTTTATAAAAGCTATTCAATTCTTTTCAGTATATTTTTTAAGTTAATATTTAAATTTTTTAAATTTAAATAATTAAGTTTTCATTTTCTTCATTTATTCAAATATTTTATTTCTTTTTCTTAATTATATGAGTAAAAAATTTTAAAAAGTACACAATGAAGAAATTAATTTTAAAAAGCTATATCCAAAAATAATTTTTCTAATTTTATTTAAAATAAAAAAACCGAGAAGAGCAGAGGATTTTCAGGGAATTTTTTTACAGGATTTGTAGATACTCTCTGTGCATATAAAACATGTTAGCTATGCATTTTTAAAATTTTACATACTTTACATATACAACGCAAACTTTATACAGAGAAGAATAATTTAATTGTTACAGAGGTCTATTTAGTTGTCTCGATTATAATACAAATAAAAATAATGAAAGGATCAAATATTAAATAAAACGTTTTTAAATATTATTTTATATGAAGATATATATATATATATATATATATATATATACATAAAAATAAAGAACAAAGTAATAATAAATAACAAAAGCACAAAGGAATATCTTATATAAATGCTTAATAATATATGTTATACAAAATCTAAGCATATTTTACCAAGTACTCTCTTTCTCGTGAATATTTCTTAAATACTTATATAAACTATTATTTATACACATATATATAAAAAATTCTTTTAATTGTTTAAAAATTAATTCGAGAAAGTATTATTTTATTATTTCTTTCTTTTCAATAAAATATCTTGATTAGGCTGATTGCATTAATGTAATCGTTAAATAAGACAAAACATTAAGTAAACAAAATTTATATTTGCAGACATCATACAAATCACAATAGACCGCCGATGTATGCGAATGTTCCTCCACCAGTGAATTTATATCAGCAATTTCATGGTGAGTCATTTTACTCTTATATGCATGCACATTGATTAATATATTTCAGAAGTCAATGATATGCATGCACATTGATTAATTTATTTCAGAAGTCAATGATACATCTATCAAACGCGTAAAATTATAATGTTGAAGAGAAAAATATGGAGATGTGATATACTCGATATGATGTATCCACATAAGTGGATCATTGGTGGTTCTTATCATTGTAACCATTCTCATAATTTCCATTGATATTTAGAAATATTGCTGCAAGTCGTGATACACTTTAAGATATTTCTATAAATGTGATATGTCTAATCTAAAATTTTAGTATATAAGTATCTATAAATCTAATAGAAAAAAATATCTGGAAAAATAAATCACTTGGAATATAAATCTGATAAACATATAATCAGGTATGTCAGGTTGATATACAGAGTGTCTCAAAAGTCCCGGACCGGTCGAATATTTCATAAATTATGCACTTTAGAAAGAAATGTTTCAGACAAAAGTTGTATGGCTTGAAGGGGGCCATCAGATAGTGACAATGATTTGACATGGGAGAGTCATTTGAAAGTCACGTGAAGATCACCGTCAATTTCTTAAATAAAACCCTCTATTTTTTATTACATATTCGTGTAGCTTATCTCGAGAGCTTTCCAAAACACTATAATAAAGTATTTCTTCATTGAGTACTTTTCGAGTTATGAGGCTTGAAATCATTTCTTAATTTTGCATAAACCATAAAATATCTAGTAAAATATTCATTTTTCGATTATTTTACCTTAATACTTTTATGTACAAAATAATGAGAGGAATCAATTGGTGTAAAGAAAAAACATAGTTGTTTTTAAGAAAAAAATATGTAATTTGCAATTAACAATTACATATTTTTTTTAAAACAACTATGTGTTTTCTTTAGACCAATTGATTCCTCTCATTATTTTGTACATAAAAGTATTAAGGTAAAATAATCGAAAAATGAATATTTTACTAGATATTTTATGGTTTATGCAAAATTAAGAAATGATTTCAAGCCTCATAACTCGAAAAGTACTCAATGAAGAAATACTTTATTATAGTGTTTTGGAAAGCTCTCGAGATAAGCTACACGAATATGTAATAAAAAATAGGGAGTTTCATTTAAGAAATTGAAGATGACCTTTACGTCAGCTTCAAATGACTCTCCAAGGTCAAATCATTACCATTATCTGATGGCCCCCTTCAAGCCATACAACTTTTGTCTGAAACATTTCTTTCTAAAATCCATAGTTTATGAAATATTCGACCGGTCCGGGACTTTTAGGACACTCTGTATAATTATGAATACATATTGCGCTATTTTATTTGGCCAATTTTGCGGCTCGGAAATTGAAAGGGGATGATGTATCGATCGATGACAGGTCGTCGCGACTTTTGCCGTAGGTAGGTAGGTACGTAGGTGATACGCAGGATGCTGAGAGGGAACCTCGCCATACGAGGACGGGAAGGGATTGAATTGGAGGGTTGAAGGGAGAAGGAAATAGAGAAAAGAGAGAGAGAGACAAGGCCCACGCGTGGCGCGACCCTAACGAAAGCGTTTTGCAATCAGTCAGTCAGTCAGTCAATCGTCTTCTAACTGGAACCAGTTTCTCCCACCACTTGTTTCGCCCCTTGTTCTCCTCCACAATACTGAGGCTGGAAGAGTCGCGAAATTAAAGCGCGCGCACGCGACTCCTTTGAACCTCCTGTCTATTAGAACCTTCAGTCATCCTCTTCGCGATGCGTGAATTTTAGTTAGACTCGAAGGATCATTTAATATGTTTGGTAATAATTCATTTCGATGACGAATAATTCATGTATTTGAAATATATTGCAGTCTGTAAATTAAAGATGGCTCGAACACGACAATCAATAACATATGAAATAAGGGCGAAGAGGAAGCATATATCATTATTTCAACCATCATCGTCTCCACCAAAGTCTCCAACGTCAAAAAAAGCGCTGTAAAACACCATGGACCGACGAAACACTTAAACAAAACTTATCGCACGACACCTGATTAGTGGTGGATGGTGCTGGAGCTGGCGCAGAAACGGTGAGACGAGTGAGGGGGAGGGGGGACCGGATGGAGGAGGGGGCTGGACGCGAAGCCGAGGGGGGGCCCTTCGGTCCCTGGATTAGCTCCGAGGGTAGTTCGTCACGTAGAGCGTGACTCCGGCCGTTTTGTTGTTTGGCACGTTGTCGACGCGCACTGACGGTTCCCCGGGTTGCGCCCAATTATAAAACAAACGCGGCGCACTCCATAATTATCCAATTAGCAGACGTGCCTACCTACCTACCCCGCATCTACCCCCTCGTCCGTCCGTCCGTCCGTCCGTCCGCCCGCCCTCATCCCTCTCTCCTCCTCGCCGTCCGCTTTTCTGGATTCGTCGCGTTCCCAGATCGCGTTTGCTCGTAGCTATTGTTAATCCCGGAATACGCGCAGGATTGATGGAAAATATAATTAAAAGAAACAACGATCAATACTTTATATTCCACAGGAATTTATTTATTAAATGCGCGAGCAATAATCCCGCAATTCGTTTAGAAAATCGGAAAAGAATTTCTTTTGTTTTATGAAAATAGAAAAATAAATAAGTGAATTTTTAATAAATTATAAGACAAAAACGTGCAATTTATATTTCATCAAATATTTGAGGAGATTTGCTCGGGGTTTCTCACTTTGCAGATTTAAATGTTTTGAAAATAGCATCTCATCATTAGAAAATCGAAAAAGAATTTCTTTTGTTTTATAAAAATAGAAAAATAAATAAGTGAATTTTTAATAAATTATAAGACAAAAACGTGCAATTCATATTCCATCAAATATTTGAGAAGGTTTGTTTGGGGTTTCTCATTTTGCAGATTTAAATGTTTTGAAAATATAGCATCTCATCATTAGAAAATCGAAAAAGAATTTCTTTTGTTTTATAAAAATAGAAAAATAAATAAGTGAATTGTTAATAAAATATAAGACAAAAACGTGCAATTCATATTCCATCAAATATTTGGGGAAGTTTGCTCGGGGTTTCTCACTTTGCAGATTTAAATGTTTTGAAAATATAGCATCTCATCATTAGATAATAAATGTTTAAAGAAAATTTAAGATTTAGAGGAAAAATAATTGAAAAGAAAAAAAATAGAGGAAAATAATAGTAAAAAAATAATCCATTTATTCCAATTATTCATTTTATAATCCATTTCATATGATTTATTGATTCCAGTAATCATTACTATTTTATTTTATTTTTCGTTCAAGCTTATATTAATTATTTATCTCGACAATTTTTATTCGTAATATATTATACATTAATATATTATAATTTCTTATACGCGTTTATATAGCTCAGAGTCTTGTATTCCATTCGAATCTTATCTATCGATTGTCTTTATGCGCGAGCATAAAAACAAAACGTTATATGGGGTACGATGAATGTGTGTGATTGATTTACCGAGGGGAGTAAATGCCACGCACAGACAAGAGCCGAACCCTCGAGAGAGTAAGTGTCGCGGATACGAAATGGTCTTTCCATGAAAAACATAAGAAATTCGCATTTTTTTTCCACGCAGACGCGATTTTATCTTAAAACGCGACTTTCTTCCAAAATTAAAATTCGTAAAATTTATTTATTAATTTGAAAGTTTAATCTCAGACGTTAATATTTATATCATATAAAAAAATTTGTTATTTTTAACTTAAATTTGGGGAAAAATTGATATTTTAATGAAATTTATTTATTTATTTCAATATGTTCTATTTCCAACTTTATACCTTGAAAACTAATACATAAGAAATAATTTGAATAGTTTTAGATTATTTCTAAATTAAAAAATAAAACAGAAAATAATATGCAATTATTACTTTACCATTTTAAAAAATTAAAAGGATCATCGATAAATTTTAATAATGAAAAAGTGACTACTATTATTACGTGGAAGAAACTTGTTAAATTTTATAATCTCTATTAAGTAAGCATCATCTATTCTATCATATCTATTTGAATAAAATTGATTAAAATTTATAGGATATTTCAAATATTATAAGTCTATTCTAAAGAAACGTGTATCTACAAGATATGATTTTTTAAATTGTCACAAAATAAATAACTTAAGACAATTGTAAAATGAAGAAATACTACTTTGAGATGGAATTTAATTCTTAGTTAGTAAAAAAGTTTAGAAAAATATAATTTGAAATAATGTAGTATATTTTTAAAGATCGCAAATTTAAATTTCGTTTCTTTCATAAAGATACCATTTTTAAAATAATCAACTTATTATTATTATTATTATTATTATTATTAGTATTATTATTATTATTATTGTATTTACAGTTTTAATCAATTACAATTTTATTCAACATTTTTGCGAAAATATTAAAATATCTTTTCTTATCTCGTTATTTAAAAATATATGACATATATGATTAAATTACATGATATATATATATATATATATTGTATATATATATATATATATATATATATATATATATATATATATATATATATAGTAAAATACTGTGGAGTTCATCTTATAAGTTCAACTCATGAAAAGTCAATACAATAATCTTTCTCTTAAAGAACTTTTTTACTAATTTTAAGAATTGAATTGCGTATTTTCTTCATATTTGAAGAATTTTTTTTTTTAAATTCTTAAAAAGCTTTTTCACAGAATTTATCTTTGAAATTACTGCATCTTTTACGGGCTAAAAACTCACGAAATTTACATGAAATTTTACTTTGCTTGATATATAACAATATAAATTAATAGAAAACACACAGAGAAAAATATTAAATTTAATATCTACTTTTTCTCTTCTGTTTCTCCCAATTAATTTTAATAGATGCAAAAAATAGAAGAAAAACATAATGTTAATGGACAAAAATTTGATTTACTAATTTTTTCTTATTAATATCATTGTAATTAATAATGTTTCTTTTCCTTGATTCACATTTACCATTTATTTCTATCGCTCTTTATATTATCGTAATTTT